AACAGTTATAAGAAATTTGATAAAATGATGCTAAATTAACTGTAAAATAACAATTTAACAAGTAAAACAGGAATAAACTTTTTTTATGATACTACAAATACAAAGGTTAAAAAACATATTTCTGTTAAAACTTGGTTTCCATGGTAACGGTAATATTGACAGACATGTCACGACGTTTTAAAAGTGTTCCCAGATACAATTGAGGAAAATTCCCGAAGTTTTGTGGTCATAGGTTTAACTGTTATGAAGTTATTCCGCTTTTTAGTGAGGAGGGCGGGGGAGGGGGCCGAGGGGCTGAAAAGGGTTAATAAAGTGAGTCTACAAGCTATGAGACAAAACTTTCGCGGCTGGTCACCTATTCCCCTACCCCCACCTCCTCCCGAGATTATATGTTTTGAAAAACCTCACAAGTTCGGGCCTTTGGGCCGAGCATAGCGAAGCTTACTATTAGAAATCACATTTCTGAAAGACGCAGGATTACCAAAGCGACAGAAGTAATTACATAACACCAGACTGCAGTAAGACTTTTTTCGTCCACGCCAACGGAGGCGCCCTGGGGCAGGGAAAATTCCTCCTTGCTATGTAGTTCACATTAAATGGGTTTAAGAGATATAGCTGAAACACAGTATAAAACACTTGCTTTGCTACGCTTAAGTTAACCGCTCTGAAAGTTATCAAAGAAAAGTGCGGAATTGTTATCCATCATACTCCATGCGTAATTTTTCTAATTTGATATATTTCGGGCAAAACACGGGTAAATATGTGCTGGTAAAATAACAATTATTATCACACGATGAGAACACCGAAAGTAGAATATCATAAAATATTTTTAACTGATTGTATAGTAAGGAGGGAGGTGAATAGGTCCGCGGATCGGCGGATTTGGGCTTTAAAAGCTCACGGATTGTGGATTTTGGCGATAAATCGAGCGGATTCGCGGATTTGAAAAATACCGTGGATCGCAGGTCAGCTGAAAGTTTTGGCCCGGTTTCCGGATTCTGTCACTCTAGAAGTTCGGATTGTGGGTCGGATCATCAATTTTCGGTCGGCCTTGGTCAATGTGCTGGTGTTTTGTCGGCGAACGTTCCACTTCCGAGGTTTCCGGAAGAGACTTTCTCGCGACCTGACGCATGTACATGTATTCTAGTATAGACAGCGTGACGGAAATGACGTCAGGCAACCTTGTGCATGGTTCCTGCATGGTGACACATGGTTCAGGTAATGGCGGTAATGCTAAGTGACCTGACAAGATTGTCTAAATTGCAAAATGGAAACTAGAACTATCGAGTGTGTAGCCTTTTTCTACCACGAAGGTGCCAAACGCGACGACTTTATTCAAAAAAATAAGTTTCGATGCTGTGTCGATTCCAGTCAGTGGGGAAGCGTGGTGAAGCTACGCGAGCACGTTCGGTAAGTTTTATATTTGGTTTATACATGAACTGATATAAATTATGTTCTTCGAAGCTATTTCAGCTAGTTTGCTTGTCTTGATCGTTAACTTAATAGACCTCTTCACGCTTTCTGTCGCCATCTTGGTTGAGGGCAAACACGGCAAAACTCGAGTCTCGATATCGTGAAGTTTTCGGAACAATAAGCAATAATTCCTCGTGTCCGAATGGGCTCTGAGTCAATAGCCAATGAGTTCTCTGAGATCGCGTAAACCTAAACGTTACGGAGATGTTAAAAGCAGATACCCTAAGATAGCAGCAGCTATGGAAAGATTATTATATTTTTGAGTAGACAAATCTCATAAACGGGCTATAAATTCAACAGGAATACGCGCGAACTCAAATTGTCTGTTGTACATTTTAAAGGTTCTGCTCAACTTACACAATTTTCCCTTGCTGAACATAAACTGTACCGAGCCGTATCTTGGTGCGCTATATAGAAGCTATATCATGCTTCAAATTTTAAACTGTAAGATCCCTGAAAGAGTTCTGCTCAATATGAAAAAAGGTTTTCAAAGGTTTCACGCCGGTAAAGATGTGCTGACTGTCACCTCTTGCAAGTTTTTACTTGTTTAAAAATACTTATTGGTAAGCAAATTACCATGAAGTTGAGTTCTGCCTCTTCCAAATTTTGCGGCTCGACTAGAAGCACGTCCAAAGTGATGTCAGTAAGTAAATTTATTGAAAAATCTTTTACGCCATACCAGATACTTTCATTTTGCAAGCTTGCAGGCTATTTGATTAGTCAAATCTGTATAGTTGGAAGAAACATTATAAGCTCTGTCCCTAATGCTTAATGTTTTGAAGCTGTAACGAAAACGTCTTAAACATGAAGTCCCCCATCTGTTGCGATTACTGAACAACTATGTTAAGTAATTCATTTTTCATGCGACAACGCTACTTTCTATATACCACGAAAAATTTTTAAAGTAACACGGATTCGTATTTGAACAAATATTAAGTCGGTTAGACGGATCGGGCCTAAAAATACCACGGATCGGCGGATTTGCGTACCCCTATTCACCCCCCTCAGTAAGACTTCAGGGTTTTAATTAAAATTAAAAATTTATCCGCGTTTGCACTTGGCCAATGCAAGTTAACAACATGTTTAGTACATTCGAGAATTGTAAAAGCGATTTCACAAACTGATACTAAAATTCAAACATTAAACTTTATTCGATGCCGCACGCCAAAAAACGAAAGTTTTTTTTACCATTGACGCTGTAAAGACGTTAAGCGTTAAAGAATAAAGGGAAAGGAGTAAGCTGATGGCAAGTATTACTTACTTAAGTTTGGGTAAATAGCCTATTTACTATATAACAGACACTACTGATGTATAAAGGCCTTATCTCATAGGAAATGCCTGTTAACCGTCGGACGTACACGCAAATTCATATCCCACCGCGTCACGGGGGGGGGGGGAGGGTGCTTTACATGAAAAGTAACACAAAAATAAGCATTTTGCATGATTTTAGCCACAACATTTTTATTGTTGAAAAACTTTGAAAAAACATGTATTTTCACCCAAAAATGGCTTGACCACCTGCTTCTTATGACGTCATATCTCGTAACCATAGCAACTGACCATCACTAAAGTTGTCTCAAGTCAAACTTTCAAAATGTGCGCGAGGAATGAACGAACAGCTACAGTAACTGAAAACATCAGGTGCCGACGTTTTATCCTTTAGGAAGAAACTCGGATAACCTTAGGGGAGGTGGCATCCACTCCCTACCTTGTACGTCCAAGTTAATTAGTTACAAATTGGAGGAAATTTCACATTTGAAAACGTTTTAACTGTTGACGGGGTGGACGTTTTCAAATTTTATTGTAGATTTTAGATCGAAAATATTTTAAACAATGACAAAATGTATCTCCAGGCATTCACCGGAACATTGCTGACGCCTACGAAACTTAAAGTTGCGTGACCTGAGAACGACAAGACTATTCTTCTCATTACTCTTGCATGAACTATTTCAAAAGCAAAGAATTTGGTATTGCGATTTGCTTTTAAGGATCATAAAAAAGTGGTTCCTTTATATTTTACATTTGAAAAGCCGAAAGCGAGTAATATTCTGAACGCATTGTATTCAAATTTTAGTGTCATACTGGCTTGCTTCAGGCACTTTTAGATAAACAGCTATGATTGAAATTACTCGTAGAAGCTAAATTGGGAGAAATGCAAATCATCTGGTATGGGTGTGAAAAATGTGCTGACATTAAAGTTACAGCTTATTAAAGAAATTCAAATTTCCCGCCAAACGACCATATTTGGTCAAACTAAGGGGTATTTTAAACGCGAGAAAAATGAATGTATTGGGACAGGAGAAAGGACAATGTTGCATAAAATCAAAATGGTAGTTTTTTTACTTAAGGTAAGTGGGACTATGACGCATTTTTCATCACGAAATACGTCATTAAAACGTCACAATGACGTATTTCGTGACGAGAAAGGCGTCATAGCACCACATACACTAATTAAAAAAAACACAATTTTAATTTTATGCAACTTTGTCCTTGCTCCTGTGCCAATACATTCATTTATCTCGCGTTTAAAATACCCCTAATTTTGATTATATAATTATGGTCATTTGGCGGGATTTTTGATTTTCTTTAATTAGCGGTAACTTCACGCCATTTCATCCGATTGAGATGGGGTTTTCACTACAAATATTCTTTCGGTGTACAAAAATGTCTGTAATGTTTTGACAACTGCCTTTCCAATTTTTAATGTTGTTATGTTGTTTAATGTTGTTTTTAATGTTGTTACTAAAACATGACGTCATACTTTCAAGAAACGTCAAAAATACCTTTACAATGGTAAAAATTTAAAGAAATTTTTTCTCTATTTAAGATGTTCTAATGTCTTGTTTCATTTGGAATATAAACTACTCCTCTGCGAGCAAACAATTTAATCTAAGTAGTTGCTGGAGGAAAAGCCCTAGAAACCGACCATCGTGTCAAATTCCTTGTCCAACCAGTTTAATGAGATGTGTTGATGCATTATGATTGTTATAGTTGTGTATAGTGGTGTTGGGAACCTCACTGCTGGTGAACTGGACAAATCTGTTGTGTGCCTTAAGCGTAGGATATAGTCCTTGACAATCGTTTTCAATATATTAATTTTATGATTGTGTTGGCTAGTGGGATGGAAGTATACCAGTTCATGCGAGTTTATCGCCCACGTCATACATAGTCTCGCAATGGCCATGACTGGCTTTTCTCCTTAACCGGATCCTTTGGTCAAAAAGATTGTATAGTTTAAGAGAAGAGGGAGGAGGCGGTTATCGAATGAACGGCTTTCCGTCATATTTGTATATAATGTAGAAGGTTGAATTCCCTCGTTTAAGACTCCATATTTGCCTCTCGAAACATCACTTCTCGGTTATTGTTTCATTTGAACGATCTAAAGCATCCCTTTAATAGGAATCATCCTCAAATATACCAGCTGTCAGAAGGTGTTTATTTACTTAATATCGTAAAATGATTTATTCAAAAATTTTGTCGTCTTGTTCGTTATTCGTAAGGCCTTCCCCTACCCGTTCTGCCAGATTTTACGATTTGGGTTTTACTTTCATCTCAGTACGTTTTAGTGAATAAAAATGCCCTCTAAATGCCTTCCATTTCATTCCAATATCGCCCTGTATATATCCACCATTATGATACAACCCATTAAGGTTTGACGCGCTACAGCCAGAGTACCACCATGCCCCTTTCTTCTTTTGAGCACAGTGGGTCCATTTCAAGGCATCATTGTCGGAATCTTTGGTTGAAAACCGCGTGCCACTGTGGAGACAAAAATTTAAATATAATTTTATAATCTTGTAGTCCTATAATCAGTTGCTAGTTTTGTTTTCTACTGTCGGCCTTGACGACTCGACAAGACTGAATCTCTTGTGTGGTTATGAATAAAATCTCAAAAATGTAAATGCATATTAATGATCTGATTTGACTTACTAGATTCGCCAATATTTGGCAGGGTAAACGTGTATAACCGATCGCTGGGGACCCGTGGACCCTATAAACGATTGACCGCACTATAGGTTTTTATAGGTTTTCTTTAAGTCTGCGTTGATTTACGCCTGAGAAAAGTACCGACATCTCGCAACGCCAACACTGGTGTCCCAGTGAAACTACGTCTGAAAAACGAGTGCAGAAATTCCACTCTGACCCCTCACTACCCAGATCTGGGTAGTGCTTCCGATTGATCGTACCGCGTGGGAAATTTGCTTCAACCAATCAAAAGCACTACCCAGATTTGAGCTGTGACGAGTCGTCAGTATGGAATTTCTAGGCTCGTTCCTCAGACTTCATTAGGTTTCTGGGAAACTGCCCACCTACCCCTCCCCTAGTCCACCAAAAATAATGCGTTTTTGAATAGTCTTAGAAAGAAGGACCTTGAAGCCCAAGTTGAATTTACGATAAAAGTTATGGAAAGGGCTAGGATCACCTGTGATTGATGTAACAGCTAAGAAAGACAGTTTGCTAATTTATGTACTTAAATTTTTCGGAATTTTGGCGGGTCGGTGTGGTAGTGTAGTTGTAAGGGAGAGAGATTAAGATTCAAAATCTCCGGGTTCGTGGTTCGGGTTCGACCCTGGATTGCGATTTTCTTTCTTTTTTAATAGAAACACTCTCAATAACTTACAGGTCAAACATTTTCTAAGTGTCCTAAAAATGGCAACGACCGTTTATATTATGAAAGGGACAACTGCGGTGGCGATTCTAGATCTAAGTCCGTTACCCTTTTCAGAAGCGTGGGCTTTTTTATGTTCCCTTCCAGCTGATAAGGAAGGATGGAGGAGTCAATGCCAACGGTTTCACTTCACCGCCCAATGACGCGATCACCTGAACTGAGACTAGATCATAGATCACAGCCAGCATGACCTTACCAGCTGTTTTAAGTGCCTGGTTGGTGGTCCGGCCAGCGTTGGAACCGAGAACCCCCCTCTCTACAAACCGGCGCTCATCCTACGAGGCTAAACTCGCGGCAGTTTATAATAAAAATCATTTGCAATTTGTTTATTTATTTACCCATCTTTGATAAGCAAAAACAAAAACAATGACGAGCGTCACTCAACAGAGTGTGGCTCCAATTTAAGTGCGCCCTGGAGAAACTATAGAGGAAGAGCTATTTACGTACATAACCATATAAGAACACTCGAGTTGCAAGGCATACCACTGTACCTTCAAATCATAATGGGGTATTTTTCCGTTTCATCAGTGGAATAACAAGCACATTATAAAAGATATAAAATATTTTTTATTATAGAATTGGCCTCTAATTATGAAATTAGAGTTTTTCCCGTTATACTTATGAAATGCCAGCCAATTATTTGTTTACCTCAGGGACTTCCCAGTGTCGCTACTTATCATCGAGTCACCAGCCGTACCACTGTATCCTCCAATCGTAATCCTGTATTTATCTGCCTCGTCAGCCACTTGAAAAGTCGTATACTCAGCGTATGTTATGTTTCCATCAAAGTCCTCCAGGTCAACTCTAAGCATGATATCACTTGAGGCTGTCAAACGGTGTATATTATCGTTTCCAAGCCAGAACTCACCGTTTAGATCTCCAAACCCATCTGCGTATGACTCCCATCCGAGATAAAAATCAACTGCGCCGTCGAAACGTCTCTGAATAACGGTCCAGCCTCCACCGTCTGTAGTCATATCACAGAGAACTTCTATTGGGTTGCCACCATCTGGAAAAATGTAATGCAACCCATTCGATGTGAAGCCATTTTGAGCAAGTTGAGAACAGCTTTTCATTATTGGTTCTGAAGGATATTCAATACAAAAAACTGAGGTTAGCCATCGCAGAGACTGATATATAAAAGCTCCAGTTTCGTGAGAGCCTCAAAGGTCAACAAGAGGGACGTCAATTATGTGGGCTTCCAAGTTCTTCCGGGAATTTCCTCGATAGAAACAGTGTCAAAAATAAAAACAAAATGATGCTGTTAATTCGAACGCCTTGTTTGAAAGAGGAGGGATTTGAAGGCTTTGTCTATTGATTAACCTTCGTTTACATTCTTGCCTTATCAGCATTATGCTCATTCTCTGATCAAAATATCATTATAACATAGCTAGAAAATTCGCCTAATCAAATTCAATAGCGCGAGCGTGCTTCATATTCCTATTGAGCACGCTGATGACGTCAATAAACTATTCGTAATTCCTCGAGTTGTTGTGAGCTTAGCAATCCTGAGTCTCTTGAATGCATCCATAACTCAGCAATAGACAATGAAGCGTTTACCATGTGTTTTGTAAAGAAATTTAAGAGGAAACGTTTGAATTTGTTAACCGATAGTAAGGAAAAGAGGTGAGTGTTGTTGTTGTTGTTGTCATCTCCGCGAGCTGTGCGGGCTATGGCGTGAGCTCATTCTTTGCAAAGTTGTTTTCTCTCAATAACAATTTTTCGGTAAATTAATAGTTTTCCGGCACCTAAATATGGATTTTACAATCATTTTAGAGTACACTTTCTCTCAGTTTCAGGATAAAAACATAAGATTAACTGTGAGGAAAAAAGATATATTCACGTAAACATTGACGCGTACTGCTTTGAGCGCGCCCTTCAATAATAAAATTTTCAGTTAACTGCTGCATTGATCGCTTTGATAATGTTATAAAACAATTAGTTCATGCTGCAGCTGTGCGTATGTCGAGATATTGAGCACTTGGGAAGTTTGGAGAGCACTCAAGAGGCTAGAGTTGCACTCGGCTGCGCCTCGTGCAACTCTTACGCCTCTTTCGTGCTCTCCAAACTTCCCGCGTGCTCAATATCTCGACATACGCACGCTGACGCATGAACTAATTGTTAAATATAAATCTCTCAAGATTGAAAAAATGGCAATGTATAAATCTCTGAAAGTTTGACCCTGATATATATATATATATACTAAATAATTTCGGAGAAATTTTGTTTTAACAAGAGAGGATAAAGGGGACAGAGACGGCATCCCTCATGCACACCCTATTCCATAGGTAATTCGTCTCGAGTTATTTTCAGAATCGGTATAAAATTACCTCGCGCGCTGCGTGGATGTTTCGTGGAGGTTTCGCATGAGTAAACTCCGTGCAAAACATGTCGGGCGAAAGGCAATGAAAGCGTATAAAGAGATCGAGAGTATTCCTGAATATTGACGCGAAATTAGTCGGCGCTCACCTTGGAAAAGGGAATCGATAGACTCTTTGACAATCCGTGAAATCAATTTAATTCGAAGTTGTCGTAACCTCAGCGCTTTAATAAAATGAAAAATTTCGCCGGTCGATTGAAACCGTTCGTTTGTATAAAGCAAGTAGGACGCCAAGTGTTATTTTTGTTGAATAATAAAAGACTAATAAAAGAATAAATATCAAACCAGAAATTGCTCTCTTCAAACTGTAAATTGTAAATGATCCTGAGAGAATATTCAGTGTGTTAGGGATTTCCCTGCTGTACTGATAGCTCTATACAAGAGAGGAAGGGCGATTCTTTTCTATTTTCCGTTTCGCTGACACAGCTTTAGCAGAAATCTCTCTGTAGTAGTTTTCGTCGACAAAACGAATAGCAATATCGCTCTCTGCGTCTTCCGCCATTTTGTTCTGCGTCAATTCGTAAAGGACGCGTGGCTCTGATCTTGGGTCATCAACGCGGAACACATTCGCGCTATGTGATTGGCTGTTGTCTTATCCCCCTTGGGATCTGTGGTCTTGAAAATAACTCGAGACGAATTAACTATGGAATAGGGTGTGTATGGGGGATACCTTCTCTTTCCCCTTTTATCCTCTCTTGGTTTTAAGGAATCGATATTTTACAAAAAAGTGTATGATTTATAACGTTTTGCCACCTAGCCATTTCGCAGTTTTTAATCGCCACTATTTTCTTAGATAGTGTTTGCAAAAGGCTGAAAATTGCACAAATTGTTCAAGATAACTAGCTCTTTCAACTTTTGAAATAATTTGTACATGCCGGTGAAGCCATCCACGGTTTAACTCACACATGAGCTAAAATGGAAACGACGACGTCAGTATTAAGACTGCCTAAAGTGCTTCTTTATTGCATTCTAGTTTTGTGACTTTTAGCCTGCTATAAGTTGCAGGATACATTTCATGTACCAAGGATTTAACAGTCATCAGGATTTTCTCAATTAGGGCCCTCTTCATAGCTGCAAAAATCGTTCATACTACGGTCTCCAGAACAATGTACATATCATTTCCAACTTCTAGGCATAACTTGATTGACACTATGTCGTAGTCTGACGTTATTATGACGTCATATTGGTGAATTTTTGGCAAAATCTAAGCCCCCTCCAAAGTAGACATAAATCGAAAAATACTTAAACAATAAGGTGTCTGATAAAATCAAGAAGATGGCTAACACATAAAGAATCTTTAACACTACCAGCGATGTAATGATGGCTTCATTTATTACTAAAAAAGGACCTGTGACCCTCCGCCATCTTGGATCCACCAGTTTGAAATGTTTGAATGTATTCCATTTTACTTAAAACCGATTTAAATCGAGGTATTTTAATAATTGAGAACTTTATCTCAATATAAAAAGGATACTTAGGAAGCAAAAAAAAAAGGACAACAACAACAACAACAAAAAGTCTACAAAAATATGAAATTCCGAGAGAGATGATTAGTATTGAAAATTTAACTCAGCATCTGCCGTTTGGTCATTCTAAACTCATGTTTTCTTTTTTCACAAATTAATTTCTGAAATGCCCGGATTTCATTAATAGTTTTTATAACTTTCATAAAATAATGCTAAATTACATGTAATATAATGACTCAATTAGTAAAAATAGAAATAAATCCTATTTTTAGAAAAAATGCAAATTTTGAAAAACACGGCTGTAGTCATGGTTACGTCAATGGGCCTTTCCGCACTAGCAGGCAAAATCGGAATTGTCTTTGAAACATCTAAACCAAAGATTGTATGGTGACAATTTTTGTTTTGAAAAACCTTATCCGCACTGGAAACTATTTACTCTTATCAGGCCGTTACATCTGACAACACTTGCATTTGTGTAAGAAAAGAATAATGGCTTTGCAGGAAATGATCGACAAGAAACACGCATTTTTGTTTATTTAGTCGATTTTGTCCAGTTTTTACCCGGAGCAAATTTTGCCGGCGGCGCCTTTGAAGATAGTCCCGACTGGGACAATATTTGTAAAATCGCGGCAAACTATCCGCATTTTTTTTTTCGACACTTACCACACGGTATTCCTTCGTAATCAGTGTCACATTCATCTAAAACTATCCCTGGAGTAGTCTGGAATGCAGATACCTTTTTCACCGCACGGGTTCAATTTGCTCGACTCGCAGACACTCTGTAATGAATGAAAAACATTAAATACGCAAATTTTCAAACGATTTTGACACAATTATGCCACTGTTCAAGTTTTTCCTTGAAAAGGTAAACAACAACAACAAACGACGACCCATTATTGAATTTTATTGCCAGAAACCAAATTTTATCTTTTCTTCTACCTAAAGTAGCCATATATAAAACAAAAAAACACTAAAATATATCTGATAGAAATTAAGAAGAGAGCTAACACATTTATAATCTTTAACAATAGCAGTGATGTCATGAAGACGTCATTTCTTATTAAAGAAGGTACTGGAACCATCCACTAACTTGGATCTCAAATTTTGAATTAATTAAATGTATTCCATTTTACTTAAAACTTGTATAAATCGAGGTAATCGTAACAGAAAATTTGATCTGTGTATAAAAGGATGCTTTAAAGGCAAAACATGCAAGAAAAATATATGAACACTGCTGACAATTGACCTTAGCATCTGCCATTTGGTCATTTCAAAAGTGATTTTTTTTTCTCAAACGAGTCACTTAAAATCCTGGATTACAATAACAGTTATAAAAAAATTTGATAAAATGATGCTAATTTAACTGTAAAATAACAATTTAACAAGTAAAAACAGGAATAAACTTTTTTTTATGATACTAAAAGATACAAAGGTTAAAAAAACATGGCTGTTAAAACTTGGTTGCCATGGTAACGTCAATATTGACACACACGTCACGACGTTTTAAAAGTGTTCCCAGATACTTTTTAGGAAAAATGTTTTGTGGTCATAGATTGAACGGTTACGAAGTTATTCCGCTTTTTGGTGAGAAGGGGCTGAAAAGGGTTAACAAAATGAGCCTACAAGTTATGCAACAGGACTTTCGCGGCTGGTCGCCTAATCGCCCTACCCCCTACCTCCTCCCGAGATTCGTGATTATATGTCTCGAAAAAACTTATAAGCTCGGGCCTTTGGGCCGAGAATAGCGAAGCTTACTATAATTAGAAATCACATTTCTGAAAGACGCAGGATTACGAAAGCGACAGAAGTAATTACATAACACCAGACTGCAGTAAGATTTTTTCATAGAAACGGAGGTGCCCTGCGTCAGGGAAATTTCCGCCTTGCTATGTAATTCACATTAAATGGGTTTAAGGAATAAATCTGAAACATAGCATAAAACACTTGCTTTGCTACGCTTAAGTTAACCGCTCTTAAAGTTATCAAAGAAAAGTGCGGAATTGTTATCCATCATACTTCGAGGGTAATTTTTCTCATTTGATTTATTTCGGGCGAAACACGCGTAAGTACGTGCTTGTAAAATAACAATTTTTATCACACGATATACTACTGAAAATAGTATACTTCATCATAAAATATTTTTAATTGATTGTACAGTAAGACTTCAAGGGTTTTAATTAAACTTAAAAAGTTATCCGCGTTTACACTTGGGCAAGTTAACAACATGTTGAGTATACTAAACTTCAAACTTTGAACCTTATTTGACGCCGTACGCCAAAAAGCGAAAGCTATTTTTTACGGTTGAAGCTGTAAAGACGTTAAGCCTTAACGAATAAAGGGAAAAGAGTAAGCTGATCGCGAGTGTTACTTACTTGAAGTTGGGTAAATAGTATATTTAATATAGAACAGACACTACTGATATATAAGGGCCTTATCTCATAGGAAATGCCTGTTAACCGTCTGTTTACCAAGAATTAGAAATCAGGTTAAAACTGCGGGAAATGGTAATTTTTTGTGCTTTACATGAAAAATAACATACAAATAAGCATTCTCATGATTGTACCCGCAAGATTTACTTTTATTATCGAAAGAGTTGAAGAAAAACATGTATTTGCACTCGAAAATGGCTTGACCACCTGCTTCTTATGACGTCATATATCGTAACCATAGCAACTGACCATCACTAAACTTGTCTAAAAATGTGCGCAAGGGATGAACGAACAGCTGCTGAAAACGTCAGGCATGCTGATGATAAAACTTAAACTTAGGATAAAACTTAGAAAAAACCTCAGCAGAGGTGGCATCAACTCCCCGCTCCTTGTAAGTCTGAGTGAATTAGTAACAAATTGTCGGAAATTTCACATTTGAAAACGTTTTAACTTTTGAGGGAATGCAGGTTTTCAAATATATTGTAGATTTTAGATAGGAAATGTTTTAACAATGAGAAAATGTTTCTCCAGGCCTTCTTGACCAGAACATTGCTGACGCCTACGAAACTTAAAGTTACTTGACCTGAGAACGACAAGACTGTTCTTCTCATTTTTCTGCATGAACTATTTCAAAATGCAATGAATTTGGTAGTGCGATTTGCTTTTAAGGATCATAAAAAAGTAGTTCCTTCATATTTTACATTTGGAAAGCCGAAAGCGCGTAATATTCCGAACGCATTGTTTTCAACTTTTAGTCTCATGGTGGGTTGCTTTAGGCACTTTTAGATACATACCTATGATTGAAATTACTTGTAAAAGTTTTTCTAAATTGGGAAAAACGCAAACCATCTGGTATGGGCCAGTGTCAAAAATGTGTTGACATTCGTCCGGATGTATTGTCTAGTAAAGACGCGTTAACATGGTTTTTATTAATGTGAAATAGTTTGTTTCCTAGTTTGTGGGGACCTCCCCTTAAGTTTTGGCTTAACAGTTGGGATGACTGTATGTTAATGATCTTACTTGTTTTCCTTTGGGAGCTCTGCTTTTAAGTTTGTTTAATTTAATGTCTTTGTTAATAGTTTGGAGAATGACGTCGGCCGTGTATACCCCGCAAGCAGGTGGTTCTATGAATTGCTTTATTTCACATGATTCTCCTATAGAGTTCCCTGCTAGCAGAGGTCTCTCACGAGGAGGCAAAGATGAGAGGAAGGAGAGAGACAGAAACATATAGAGGTGTATCGTTATAGAACTTTGTTAACCACCGAATGACAAGGAAACATCTGCGCAGATCAGTGACCCTGAATTTTAATCAGCTCAGGAAGCGTGTCAGCGCTGAAGATTATTTCATAGATTTCAAATTTGAATATACGTCTGCATCTGCTATAAGATGCAGACAACAGAATTTTATATCACTGTGTCCATATATGTTTTGATGTATATTAGGTTAGTTTAATTCTTAGACACACGACCCCACAAGCTTTATAGCTTTAAAAATTATCGTGTTAAGGTGTTTCGATATAGTTTTTCAAGGGCCATACCGATATTTTTCAATCGCTTTAAAAGTGATTTTATCCTTGTCTGATCGTTATAAAATTTTCACCAAGGATTGGCTATAGGTTGAAATTTGTCACAATTTAATTTTGCGCGATCTAGACCAGCTACTGAAAATCCAACACTAGGAACTTAAAGTTTGGTGTTAAGCAAATACCTTATTATAGGAAATTAACGCTCCATGAAATTAACGCGAATCGTTCAAATTCGCGTTAATTTAAGTCGCGTTAATTTTGTTGAGCGTTAATTAAGTGCAGCGTTAATTTCCGCGCTCTTAATTTCCAGTATTTTAACCCCATATTGGAACCTGTCCAGACATTCTTCACACCTAAAAAACGTTAACTACAAGCTTTCTTTCTTTCCATTTACTCTTTATCTTTTCATCTTTCACAAAAGCTAAGGCGAAGGTTTACAATATTTCGAGTTCATCGTTGTCGCTGTCAGAAGTGATGTCAGTATCTTCTCCCTCGATTTCGCGTAATTAATCGCGTTAATTTCTTTTATTATGAAATTCTACCTCCTCCTTCGCGTTAATTTTCTTTATTCGAAAGTCGTTTCCCACTAAATTCGCGTTAATTTAAGTCGCGTTAATTTCCAATACCTTAATTTCATGGAGCGTTAATTTCCTATAATAAGGTAATCTCCGTAAGAAGTAAACAAAATCCTTATGTTTGAATTCGACTAAAACAAAAATATATTTCAAACCTTAAATTTTCCATAGCCGTGATAGATTATTAATAAAACGTTATAAATGACTCAAATTATTCTTAAGTAGCGTCAGAATGTTGCTTAATATCAAATTTCGATCTTAAATTTGGGTGTATTTTCGATCTTAAAAACTAACCCGTTTTCTCACCACCTGTTTAAATGCAACTTCATTCAAAATTTGGACTTTTAGCGCTTTTTTGTATATCTCTGAAACGACTCGAAGGAATTTTTTAAAATCTCTTCACATAATCTTCATAATATATATAATAATGTCTGAAACTTTATTCCCGTTGATTTGTCCAAAGAAAAAAAAAACATGCTCATGGATGCAATGCTTAACAGTATATTGACAGCTAAACGTTAGATAAAAAAAAGCTCTAATTCGAACGGTGAACGCCCTTTTCCATGCAAGATATTTTGACTGAAATCTGAAATTCCGGTCTCAACGTGAACACATAACGGTTTTCAGTTTGGACGAACAATCAAGCATTCTTCCATCCCTCTGGATTATCCGGATTGTGTTGTTTTATCTCTAGCGTGAAATCGCCCAAAATCTAAGGAAACTCTCTCAAACAGAAATCTGAATCCGTCTCATCTTAATCACACCATTGATAAAAATAAAGCGACTCTAGTATTCTATTTAAGCAGATTTTTTTCCGCCAAGGGCTTCCACTGTACTCGTCAGTTAAAGCAGCACAGAAAAATTAAGTTCGAGTTCTCACTACCCCTGATTGATGTTTTCAGACATTTTTTGATATAGCTAAATAGCTAGCCTTTCTTTATTTGGCGCGATGTTAAGTATACTAGTATGCGGGATTTTTCTGGTTGAGAGAAAATAACACGTTTGAATTTAAAAAAAAAAGGGCGATAATGTTACCTGCACTCCTCTATACTTAAAATTGTCATCTTCTGTGAAATTACCGACGTCAAGAAATCGGTCGGAATCGCTCAGCTCACAAACGAATGTCCCCGATCTGTTCTTTGTGTTCCCAAAGTTGTAAGAGAGGCATCGTTCATCCTTGACGCATTGAAAGCTGCAGTCATCTTCTGACATCACATCAACTTGCTTTATAACGCTTCCGTTTAGTTTTCGTCTTTCTTTTGCCTGAGCAAAGTTTACAGCTTGAAAGTCTGGCGTTGAAATACGGCTTGTGCAGTATGCATTGATCACGGAAAAAACTATTAGAGGGAGCAAAAGCATCTTGCCGGACAGGTCAGCTTCACGGTGTTTCAGCTGTTCTGCTTCTGCTGGATAGTTCAATTCACTTTATAGCCCTTTAGGCCAAAGTATTTATAATTCCAACGCAATTTGAATAAATTTGAACTATTTCTACCCATTCAACACAGACAGACACCTAGTTTACTGTAATGTTGGATACCAAAAAAAATTAATGTTAAATTACTAACACCGTCAACTTCCGCTTTCGTTTCAAAACAAGCTACATAGCAGTGCTGATCTAAATAATTTACTCGCCTTATTAAGCTTTAAAACGTCGTAAAAAATCTTTCTTAATTTCGGGAAAAATCATGTTATGATGACTAGACTAGTAAGACTGTATTTTTCGCGAGGGGGTACTCAACATAGTTTTTTTCGAGGTCCAACCCCTTACCCCTTCATATATACCAATTTTGACAGGAACGGTACTCCTTTCGTATACCCTCTAATTACAAATGGTACCCCCTTCACTAACTAATTTAGAAACTTGCATCCCTTTTAACTTCTGTGAATGCATTGCATTCAAGTTTGAATTAATCCCAAAAATAGAGAGTTTTTTCGCATCCAACCGATTTTTTTAGCAGACTAATTTTTCCTTTAAACCTAGTGTTTCAATGGTGACCGTACAACTATCATAAGCTATCATAATGATTAAAATTACTCTTAAAAGTTTTCCTAAATTGGGAGAAATGCAAATCATATCTGGTATCGGTGTCAAAAATGTGCTGACATTCGTAGAAACCGGATGTATTGATTCACAGTTCGATTGTCTAGTAAAGACGCCTATTAATGTGAAATAATTTGTTTCATAGTTTGAGGGGATCATGCTCCCCTCCAGTTTTGTCTTAACATTTGGGATGACTGTATGTTAACGATCTTACTTGTTTTCCTTTGAGAGCTCTGCTTTTAAGCAGGTGGTTCTATGAATTGCTTAATTATTTCACATGATTCTCATATAGAGCTGTTTCATGTACCATAAAAAATTAGTTCCTTTATATTTTACATTTGGAAAGCCGAAAGCGAGTAATATTCTGAACGCATTGTTTTCAACTTTTAGTCTCATGCTGGCTTGCCTCAGACACTTTTAGAGATACACATCTGAAATAACTTGTAAAAGTTTTCCTAAATTGGGAGAAATGCAAATAATCTGGTATGGCTGTCAAAAATGTGCTAACATTGGTCGCAATGTATTGATTCACAGTTCGATTTTCTAGTAAAGACGTGTTAACATTAAGCGGTTTTTATTCATGTCTAATAATTTGTTTCATAGTTTGTGGGGATCTCCCCTTAAGTTTTGGCTTAACAGTTGGGATGACTGTATGTTAATGATCTTATTTGTTTTCCTTTGGGAGCAGCTGTACAGTACCGCAAATGATCCTCAACCGCAAATGATCCCGAGACCGCAAATGATCTCCAAAATGGACCGCAAATGATCCTCGACCGCAAGTGATCTCCAAAGGCGACCGAAAATGATCCCGAAAGAAAAATAGAAATGGCTTGAGTTCATCGTGTCAATTTTATCATTATTACAAAGAGTCAGACTGAAAGCGAAATTTTACTTCTCAAATAAATACTGTAAACGAATTAAAACTAAAGAAAAAATATCATTCAAGTGTAACGTCCTGCGTGTCTTAAATTTTTACAGCGACGAAACATTCTTGAAAGAAATTTGAAGCAATTGACAAGAGAAGTATACGTATATGTTGTAATTTTGATTCCTAAACATAGCTTTTGCAGTACTGTATGTTTGTATGGTCATGCAAATAAAGCTCGTTGTTGTTGTTGTTGTATATATTCTGCGATTTTAGTACTCCTCGATCCTACTTCAGGTTACTCTGAAATACACTTCTACTTTGAAATACACTCTGAGATCGCTGAGATATGTGTGAGTGGGATTATTAACCGATAGAATAAATAATAAACTGGATAAAAAGTAATTTAATTAATGAGCATGCGCTGAACCGTGAGCCTGTCCCTTTAAAGAAAATTTTTGGGGGTAAATAAGGTGCATTATGGGAAAAGTGGAGGTGGCGTATTTCCGCCAGTCAATTTGCGCTAGCAGGCTCATTATTGGCAAGTGAACATTTTCATCTGGTTCTTTCTGGATATGCTAAACTATCCCATATTTTTTCCAATTTAGTTTTTATGGCGTCATCGCTTAATTTTCTTTTCCATAGAGAACTAGATAAGGTTTACAATAGACGTGAAGAATATTCTTATTCTTATATGTTATCTAGATCGCTACTGTTTTCAGCACTTTTTATTGAAATCATATATCATTTTCCTCAAAATCATGTCCGGTCGCTACAAGGGTGTCGAAAATCGGGTAAACCATTAGAAAAAGTGTAAAATCAGTGTTATGGGACATTCTGCTGAACGTGGATAATCTATCAATATCTGAATTGTTACAACATCGACACGTAAGACTGTACACTAGTGTCAGTTTACACTTTGGGTTTTACTTTCATCTCAATACGTTTGAATGAGTACTTATGTCCTCTTAGTGTGACCCATTTTATTCCATCGGCGTCTTGGTTGCTGTATTTTCCACTGTAATATACGCCATTAGGATTTGCCCAACTGCAGGCGTTATACCACCATCCTCCTTTTTGTGTCTCCGCGCAGTTTACGCTGGATCCGTCATTATCAGCGTCTTTGGTTGTGAATTGCATGTTGCTGTTAAGAAATAGAGAACAGTCGTTATCGGCGCATCCATCGATAGTGCATCTCCCCGGGGGTACACTTCCCTGTATACTTTATAGATCTGTGTCGATTTTTCCATGTGTAATTATGATAATATTTTGTTCTTATTATTTAACTGAGGGAACCCATTCCTTAAGCCCGGTGGTTTCTATTGGGCTTTCTCGCCATGAGGGTTTGAATAATTAGATTTCCTTGCTTTTGTACAACTTATGGCAAAACTGTGCTCTCCAAAGTCTGACCAAAGGGCATAGTTTTTGAGACTTTTTGTTCAGAACACGCGTACACTGAGATTTTCCCGGGGTTTAGATCTCAAAAGGAACCGCTGGAGTGTGTTAACGTACTTATTAAATGAAAGGTAGACAGATAATCGAAATATATCATGTTAACAAATGTATTATTAGGCTCATTTAAGAAGATATGTCTTGTGTGTGTCAGATGAAATACACCACAAAAGAGAGCGTAGGGCAACTTAAGCACACTGTTATTTGTGCTAAACTGATTGGATTCCTGATTGCAGAACGTAGTTTTGAGAAGAGATGTGAACAATGGTTTGAATTAAGGTCTTGATTTGGACAAACGCACGTTACCGAACCAAGAATTTGTAGCTGATCCTCTCAGCGGAAGATGATGTGATTCCTTTCAGGGAAGAAAGTAGTGCGGAAGAGTGTTTTTATAGTCTGCAATACAGACGTACTTGAAAAATATAATTCCCGCGCCCAACAATAAAATAACATCACAAATGTTCTACAGTCTCGCCCCATCTAAGGGCCTGAATCCAAGAAAATTTTGCTGGTGGGATCCGAGATCCGGGATTTTTTACTGGTGGAATCTGGAATCCTGGGCTTTGGAATCCAGAATCCAGACAAAGAAATCCAGAATCCCACGAACGACTGACACCCAGTTCCACTTACCAAGGCTAGAATCCGGCACCTGGAATCCGGAATGCAAAGTGTGCAATCCAGAACCCAAGGCTGTCTTGGATTCTGTTATATGGGGCAAACAGATCAATACATTGAGCGACCAGACCCATGCATGGGGGGGAACAGACTTATGCATGAGGCGAACAGATTTATACATGGGGCGAACCCAGTCAAAGTGTAGGATAAAGACGTTTCCGTAAAAATTGAACTGGTAGTTAAAAGGGAAAATAAAGAAGAAGAAGACATTCTTGCTTTCAAAAATACGATGTATAACTAAGGATTATTGTCTTGTTTTTCAAAATAAAGGAAAAAAGACAAATATAGCACCCACAGCCGTAAACACGTGGTGAAAGCAAAACACTAGTTGACATCAAGAGTATGTGGAAAGATCTGTTTAAAAATACACCGCGGCTATCTAATGACAACAAACTGAGAAAATTTTCCTTTTAACTACTACATCGGATATTAGTAACCAAACAAGGCGCTGCAGAGATTTAAAACTTCGGTTGACGACGAGTCACATTTACTGCAGATCACGTGATTCTATACAACACGCTTTTCTGGAGTCCTTTGGTGGCCTCTCTCTTTCGCAAGAAATAATACGGATGGTTTAATGATAAACACAAGTTAAACCTCAACCTTTCCAGCTTGCAGTTGGTCTTCAAAGACTGCAAACCTCCTTCAAACGTATTGGTCAATGCAAAACGGAAGTTTTGGATCCCAATTTTGCAAACTTAGAAATATTATCAACAATGCAAAACGTTAAGAAAACACCCCACTTCCTCTGATCCAGCAACAAAAATGTTAGCTCAATGGAAAATTGATAAATGCCATAAAATTATCCTACTTGACAGCACCTTTTTCGGTGACAATCTCGCCTACTTAAATTTGCTTCTTTTTTGTGGAGTTGTCAGTTTTTACGTACTGGACTGTTCTGTACAGTTGTAGCTTCCTGTTTAGCCTTTTATTTTTATTTTAGTTACTGGTTACTGTAAAATATGTAACTGTGGTGCGTGTGGCAGAAAGTACAATAACGATTTATTTAAAAAATTATGATAAAATAACAATAAAAAGAAGAAAGAATAGAAGGAGATTAAGGAGAAGAAGGAGAAGAACGACAAGAACAAGAGTGTGCTGTGGTAAGTCGCACCAGTCTAAAATCAATACTTACTTTGCGGGTAGAAACTTAACGCTATCTGTCATGGAGTCACCAGCTGTGCCATTGTACCCTCCAACCGCAATACGGTATTTATCCACCCCGTCAGCGATCTTAAAAGTGGAATATTCAGCATACGAAATTTTGCCATCAAAGTCCTCCAGGTCAATTCTAAGCATGACATCATGGGTGGCTGTCAAACAGTGAAGATTGTCGTTTCCAAGCCAGAATTCGCTGCTCAGATCACCAAACCCATTTTTGTAGGATTTCCAGTCGAGCTGAAAATCCACCGAGCCGTCTAAACGTCTCTGAAACACGGTCCAACCTCCACCGTCTGTGCTCATGTCACAAAGCACTTGTATTGGCTTACAACCATCTGGGATGATGTGATAGACGCCATTAGAAGTGAAACCATTCTGAGAAAATCCAAGGCAGCTTTTCATTTCCTCTGTAAGTAATTAGAAACTAATTAATATAAACACAAGGTCTGATTGAGGTACGTTACAAGTTGGCCACAGTAAAGGCGTCAAAAGCGTCCAAAAGTTAATAGGGATCATAAGCAGAGGCGTTTCACCACGGGTGACAACTTTTCCCTTTTAATATGCCTTGACGCTATCACATTGATGTCTTTACTGTTATAGAAAGGATTTAATCGAAAATGTGGGCAACACCACTGCCCAAGAATGCACTTCACTTCACTTCCCGTTGACTTACGCTTCTCAAAAACGTTGACGAGCTTCCTAATATTTTGAGTCTTAACCTCCATTTCGAAAAGGCAAGTTAATTAGTTAGTTTTAAGTTTGGTCAAGCGCTCGCTCGAACAGCATGGTTTCTCCCTCGCCAGTCACTTTGGTCTATGATTGCCGTTCTGAGTTCTCCAAATTTTGCCCAGCTTATTGCACGCCACCCCAATTCGCCGACCAGCCAAAATTACGAAAAAAATTAAGTTCATACACCGACAAACTGTCTTTCTTAACTGTTACATCAATAACAGGTGACCCTAGCCCTTTCCATAAATTTTAACGAAAATTAAACTTAAATTTAAAAATTATTCCTCGAGCCCGAATGGGCTCTGAGTCAATAGCCCATGAGGACGAGAGGAATAATTGTTTTAGTAAAATCCAACTAGTTGGTCAAAAATATCGAGAATAAAAAACTTTTAGCTAGTTAAAGCTAGACTTTAATCCTTTTTTGCCGCCAAAAAGCTAGGGCTTTTCGCTACTAGTGGGCTATAACATGTAGCCTAGTAGTAGCACAACCAATCATAACGCAGCATTGATAATAGACCACTAGTTGGATTTTACTAATCCTGTTTATTCAGCTTCATTGTTTGTGTTCTCTAAGCTGGTTATCATGCTGCGTTAGAAAATGGCCCATTACTTACTGCAAGGTATTCCTCCATATCCAGTGTAACATTTGCATTCAAAACTGCTCCTGAAGTAGTCTGGGATACAAATTCCTTTGTTCCCACAAGGATTATTAATGCTTGACTCGCAGATACTCTGTTTTGAAGATGAAAATGTCTTAGATGAATTAATTTGACTAAAAATGTCAATGTCGATGAAGCCAAAAATTTAAGGCCTTATCTCATAGGAAATCCCTCTTAAGTTTAATTGGTAACAAATTGATGGGAATTCTACATTTAAACAAATTTTGACTTTTAAGGGGATGGGCATTTTTAAATTTTAATTTTAGATCGAAAATGCTCAAAACAATGAAAAACTGTTCCTTCAAGCTTTGACCGGAACATTGCTGTCCCCTTCAAAACTAGTTGGCTGCCCAGAGAATGAGAAGGCGCCATTCTTCCCATTATTCGTGCATGGATTTTTGCAACAGCAAGGAATCCGATATTGTAAATTGCTTTTAACGTTTCCTCTAGTGAACAACATCATTTTAAAAGTAGGGACAAATGTTCTCGACGCATTGTTTTCAAATTTTAGTCTCGTGCTGGGCTGTCTAAGGCACCTTTAGATACGCAGGTATAATTGAAATTACTCGTAAAAGATAATTATGCTAGATTAAGATTGGTCAGTGGGTGTCGAAAATGTGATAGAATTCATCGGTTTGCATTGATTCACAGTTCGATTTTCTGGCAATGTCTGACGCGTTAACATAGAGCACTTTGTTATTTAAATGGGTAATGATTTGTTTAATAGTTAATGTGGCTCTCCCCTGCAGTTTCGGCTTAAGAATTGCCATGACTGTGTTTCCATAATCTTACTTATTTTCCTTTGGGAGCTCTGCTTTTGGGGTTTGTTTAATTGATTTCATTTAATGTTTTCTTAACAGTCTGGAGACGAAGGCCTTCAGGGGATGTATACCCCTAGGCAGGTGGTTCTAAGGATTACTTAATTGTTTCACTTAATTCCCGCTTGTATCGCCTTCTCATGCTAATTTGTCTAAAAAAAAACGTGCTCTTGGATGCAATGCTTAATATTATGACAACCAACGGTTACTACATGTATGTTGTTAAAAAAAAAAACGGTATTTGCTTTTATTTTGGCTTTGATCTTGGAAACATCTTTAGGTGATCGAGGCGTTTAAAGGATGGTGATTTCTTCATTTTGAAGAGAAAAAAGCTCCAATTCGAACGGTGAACGCCCTATTCCAAAATATTTTGACTGAAATTCAGGTCTCAATGTGAAAACAACGGTCTTCAGTTTGGACGAACAATCTTTCTTCCATCCCTCTGGATTTGCCGGATTATACTATATTATCTTTAGCTTAAAATCCAAAAAGTTAAAGAAAACTCTGTAAATCAAAAAGCGGAATCATTGCCATCTTAATCACACTATTGATACTAAAAAGACAAAGAAAGTATTCCATTCGAGCAGCTTTGTTTTTCCGCAAAGAGCTTCCACTGCATGCACTCGCTGAAACAAGGACAGAAAATTTAACTTCGAGTGCTATAACGATCCTCGATATAACGATGTTCACGGTATAACGATGGTTATTCTATGTCCTTGCAAAAGTCACAGTAAAATATATGGGACAGAACCCCGATATAACAATCTTCGATATAACGATATTCCCGATATACGATGAGACTTTAGAGGACCAAAGGTAAAATCTTTCCCGATATAACGATATTATCAGTACACAGTCGCGATTTAAGCAAAACATTGAATTTAATACAATAACATTACAGTAATTGAGAAATCTCTAACGTTTCGTTCAGGAAAATAATAATGTATTCTAAGCCTCCTTGTCATTCAATCCTCTAAGGTTTACCCCCGAAATAACGATCTTTCTTTTATTTTTCTAGCATATCGTTATATCGGGAGTTTCGATATAACGATTCCTCAAAATAATGATATAATTTTACTGCTCCCTTGGCACATCGATCGTTGTATCGGGTTTCCACTCTAACCCTGAATGATGGTTTAAGACATGGATGATGATGATGGTTTGAATACATGTAATGGCCTTTCTTTCTTTGGCGTGATATATTGTAATTGTTGTTGACATAGGAGTTATATAAATTTTCCGGGTTGAGAGAAACTAACATGGTTGATTAAAAAAGAAAAACATCAAAAATAGGAATTTTTACCTGTATTCCTCTATAGGTAAAATTGTCATGTTGTGTGAAATTACCAAAGCCAGAAAATCTGTCAGAATTGCTCAGCTCACACGCGAAAGTCCCTGATTCGTTCTTTGTGTTTTCAAAGTTGTAAGAAAGACAACGTTCATTCCTGACGCATTGAAGACTACACCCATCTTCTGACCTCACATCAACTTGCTTTATCACGCTTCCGTTCAATTTTCGTCTTTCTTTTGCTTGAGCAAAGTTAACAGCTTGAAAACCGGGCACTGAAATACGGCTGGTGCTGTATACAGTGGTCACAGAAAAAAACGATTGGCAGTAGCAGAAGCATTTTTGATCGGCCGGCTTCACAGCATTTCGGATGTTAAAAAAATGTCAAAGGGCCGGTTTCTGGATAGTTCACTTTAATTTGAAGCACCTTAGACTAAAGTATCTATGATCCAGGTGTAATTTGGATTAACGTCCACCCAATCAACGCTGACGAACACCCGCCGATTCGCACTTAATAGTGTTTGGAGCCAAAAATTTTCGTTAACTTCCGTGTGCCCTGGTATAAAACAACTTCGTAAAGGGTTTTAGGATGGTTTATAAAGGAGGGAGTTGGTGATAAGGCTTATATATATCCGAGGAGGCTTTTAACCGGATTAACAAAAGCTTTTCAAAAGAAGCTAAATAGCGGTGCTGATCAGAAATACCTTTCGAATCGTCATAAAAAGTCGATTGCATTTCAATACTGCTACTCTAGAAAGTGGCCGATATCTAGAAGGGGGGAGAGGCGCCTATAAGGTGATGTGCTTTTTTGGTTTACAAGTAGATGGGCTTATAACTGAGAGGGTCTATAAGGGAGAGGAGAGGGAAAAACTTCTAAGCGGAAGTTAGCGGTATCACCGAATACATTTAATTTTAATTATCACTTTTGACAAGTTAGGCATCTCGGTCAAAGTCGTTTCGTAGTCAAAATTTCCAGCCGGAAGAGGCCGAAAGACAGGCTTGCCGTTTTTTGATAAAAAATAGCCCTTGATTTGTAAGTTAGAAGCCGGAATTTCTATGTACTCCAAGTTATTAGCTTCGGCTTTTAAAAGGTTAAGTGTCTCAGGTGGGTGTTACTGTTACCAGAGCAACAGTTAAAGGTCAAGATCTTCAAAAATTAACTCAGAAGCCACCCACCTTGTTTTACTGAACAAACAATGAAAATTGCTTAGCTTTCTAGATCCTACAATTAGGGATCGAGAAGATAAAGGTTCTTTTGCTGCCAAAACGTTGTTGATGACTAGACTAGTGAGACACTTGAATCATCGTATTATATGTTTGTTGGCGCGTTAACTTTGCCTGACCTTAGTGTTTAAGTGCGGATAACCGCACACTGTTTAGTTGAAGCAGAAAATTAAAAACGCCAAGCAGGTGATCTGAAGGCTCAAGCTGTGATACACCTAATCTGTAGCCTGCGAAACAGGCGCTATTGACTCAAAATCACGTCCGCTTCGAGCGCGCCTGAAAAACGCTAAAAACTAAGGCTCCCAATCTGCAGACTACTTAATTTGTAAATGCGGTTGCCTTATGGCGACGGCAGAGGTATTTCCGGTCGTCTCTTCTATCTGATTCCGATAAGAAAACAGATCAAATGATAAATTACATGCATTTAATTATGTATTTCACTTTCCAGGAGCCTATTTCCGTGACTTCTCCCAACATATACTGCATGCCGGCTCTTGAACAATCTACCACCTCATGTTTGGAAGGCCTTTGATTGCAAAAATTTCCTTGACAACCTGAAAGAACGTAACCTGCTGGACCAAGACGAGTGTCCCTGCAGTCTCTGCTCTAGTTATAAGTTTTCCTAGTTGTTAAACAATTAGATTAGATAGTTAATGTATTCATTTTTAGATTCGACTGTATCATTACTAAACGTTCACTAGTGGCTCTTGTTTCAATGAAAATTGATTGACTGATTGATTTTTTTGATTGATGAGGGAAGTGAAAAATTACACCACAGGCAGACCACTATTTGTTCGTGGGCCGTTGTAGTCACTCAGAAATCGATATGCAGCACTGTATAGACATCGCCCGACATGTACTTACAGTGCTTAGTTTCTCAATGTGCGGCATAATAATTGAATTAATAAGCTTTCGGAAAGCCAGCTAAATACCGACTACTCTCGAAAAAGAATCGGTTCTGTCAATGAAACGGTTTGCACGCGTAAAGTTTAAATCCCAATTGACCACTCCAGAAATACCATAACATACCATAATGCTCTTTGTTTATCACCCCAAAATTTTGTATAAGCATTGTTTTCAGTTTCTCTTGGGGCCATTTTAACTCCCAAGAGAAACTGAAGACAATGCTTATGCAAAATTTTTTGGTGACAAACAAAGAGCATTATGGTATGTTATGGTATTTTCTGGAGTGGTCAATTGTAAATCTCTAGGTGTGAAAGTAAGTAATTGCACTCTAATTAGGCTGGCCCCGCGGAACAAAGAATTTATTTGCGTGAAACTTATTCTGGGCGATGGAAGAAGCGATAATTTTGCTCGGGAGAGCGAAAAAATCAAGACACATGACTCAGTTAAAAGGGGTTTTTAGAGAATTTATTTGGTGAAGCATTTTCACTCAATGAAACCACCGCAATGCTCATATCTAATTCTTCATGAACTGATTCGAGTTCCAAAATTCTGTTTTAAGGAAACTGGCTTTAAACATCGCAAAAGAATTTCGTTTTCAAAAATTCCTTCGTAGTTGTTTTTCCTTCTTAATACTAGACAGGGGCGGATCTAGGGGGAGGGTGCAGGGGTGCGCCCCCCCCTGAGATGACCTGCGGTTTTCTAATACAACTAGTATTCTGCAACAAAAAAAAACTAGAGGTTTATTGGTGTTGAAGTAGAGCAAGAGACGAGTGCACCCCCTCCTAAAAAAAATCCTGGATCCGCCCCTGACTAGATATAAGGATAAAGGTTCTTTGATATGACTTTGACCAGCGTAAGTACGTAATTTGACTCCGCTTTGAACAGAAGATAACAACCTATGATTTTTAAGGTCCTTTAAGAAGACAAAAGAAAAAGAAAGATATCCTATTATCGGGATTCGGCGCCGGTAAGGGAAACTTTTTGCTAATACATAGATAAAGCTAAGCGTAAAAGCGAAGCTTCTATTTATATTACTTTAATATATATACCTTGCTAAGTCCGCTTCCTTGTCCAACCAGTTTAATACTAGGCGTTGATATATTATGATTGTTATAATGGTGTTGAAAGCCTCATTGGTGGTGAACTGGTCAGATCTGATGTGTGCCTTAAGGGTAGGAGGTAGTCCTTAACAATCATTTCCATGTGTTCAGTAACTACTGTAGTAAGGTAGAAGCAAACCAGTTCATGCGTGTTTAATTTATAGCTCACGTCATCTATAAGCACAAAATGACACTGTTTTTTTTTTTAATCTTAACCCGATCTTTTTGTCAAAAAAGCTTGTAGTGCATAGTTGAAAGGAGGAGGGGAAAAGGGGTTATAAAACGAACGGCTTCCCTTCAGCATGTATGTCGAAGGTTGAATGCCCTCGGTAAAAACTCCACGGTTGCCCTGAAAAATTCACTTCTGCTTCTCGACACTGGGAGCTTTCACCTCGTTCCCAGATTCTTTCGCTTAACTCTAGGAACGAGGTTGTGGGAACTCTTCGTCCAGGCCTATCTGAAACTGTTTGTTTTAAAAACCAGCCGCGACGCGAGGGATTACACCACCATTCGTTTTCATTCCAAGCATTAAATAAACACATGCATTGATAACTTTTGTCGGAGGCGCGTAGTATTGCGCAGCATAGCCATTTGTTGGTTATCTGTTTCTATGGACGATTTATCATCTTTAGGAATAATCCTCAAATCACCCGTCGCCGAAAAGGGGGGTTTGTTTTCTTTGTAACGTAAAATGATTAATTCAAAGTTGTGTCGTCTTGGTATCCATTCGTTAGGCCTCCCATCTTCGTTACTGTCCTCAGATGTTACGATTTGGGTTTTACTTTCATCTCAGTACGTTTTAGCGAATAAAAATGTCCTCTAAATGTCTTCCATTTCATTCCAATATCGCCCTGTATATATCCACCATTATGATACAACCCATTAAGGTTTGACAGGCTACAACCAGAGTACCACCATGCCCCCTTCTTGCTTTGAGCACAGTGAGTCGATTGCAAGACATCATTGTCAGCATCTTTGGTCGAAAACTGCTTGCCACTGTAGAGACAAGAGGAAAAAAATCAAAAACTTCTTGTGGCCTTAAAACAAAATTGGGGATCAATCAGTTGTTTGTTTTGTTTTTTACTGTGAGCCCCGACGGCTTGACTGACTACGTAGACTCGCCAATTCTTGGCAGGGTATACAAGCGTAAAGCAAGTAGCTGGGGACCGGTGAAGGCACTGCCTTAATCCCCCTAGAAACTTGACTACATCATCGGGGTCTACGTTCGTCACTATTTTAAAAATTGTGGGCTCTTTTGCGTTCCCTTTCAACTGATAAAGAAGGATAAAGGACACAATGCCAACGGCTTAACGTGACCAACCAGTGACGCGATCACTAAGACAAGATCTTTGATCACAGCTAGCATAACCTTACTAGCTGTTTTAAGTCCCTGATTGATGGTCTGGCCAGTGTTTGAACCCACGAATTCCTGCTCTGCAGACTGGCGTTAATCCAACTGTGCTAACCGGATGGCAGTTTCGTAAACAGTTTTATTTTTCTCATTTACTGGCATATAATCCGCGTCTTTTCGTGTTTTAAAGTAATGTTTGACAAATCCGTGTTAATTAATAACTTCATATTTCCTTATTCATAATTCGGTATTTCTTTATTGCTTTGTCTGCAATCTGGTGAATTTTGGAATTGTTGCATACAAGTACATGGAAGCTGATCCTCATGTGTTAAGGGTTCCATGTAAGTCTAGATCAGATCATCTTCTAGCGGTCTGTTATTTACTTACTTTACTTTCATCGAGTCTCCAGCCGTACCGCTGTATCCACCAATCGTAATGCGGTATTTCTCCGCCTCGTCAGTCACTTGAAAAGTTGTATACTTAGCGTATGTTATGTTGCCGTCAAAGTCCTCCATGTCAATTCTAAGTATGACATCATGAGTGGCCGTTAAACGGTGTATATTGTCGTTTCCAAGCCAGAACTCACCGTTTACATCTCCAAACCCATTTTTGTATGACTCCCATCCAAGATAAAAATCAACCGAACCGTCTAAACGTCTCTGAATGACGGTCCAACCTCCACCGTCGGTAGTCATATCACAAAGAACTTCCATTGGGTCTCCACCATCTGGAAAAATGTAATTCACTCCATTTGATGTGAAGCCATTTTGAGCAACCTGAGAACAGCTTTTCATAACTAGATCTGAAAAAAAAATGCAGGAAAAAAAAGCTGAAGTTAGCCGCCATTGCATAGCCAGCATGCAGATGTCTCCCGTAAAAATCACTAATCCTTGAACAACAAAGGAAATAGGGGACGTCTCTATAAACAAGCTAACCAATCACAGAGACGTACTGATCTACAAAAGCTGACATTTCGAAGTAACTCAAGGTTAACCACCCTCCGTCCAGAGCCTCCATCTGTACTTGTCTTCTTGAGAGGGTAGGAGGCGAAAAGGAGGTTCTGCGTGAATCGCGTCAAAACTTTGAGGTCACTGCAGCCCAAACGTCTGGACTACTGATTCTTGGTCTCTCTCGTTCAAGGAAAAAAAAATTACGTGCCTCATTAACGCTTTCGGTCACCCAGCAATTTCGCAGTTTTTGATAGTTGCAATAATTTTATTAGAAAGTGCTTATGTAAAAGTCTGAAAATTGCACAAATAGACCTTTTTACCGATACGGCAGCCATATTGAATTAATTCTATTTAAGGAGTATTATAGGATGCCCAGGGGGCATATGCACATTTCGTTTGTATTTTCGAGGCTTTTTCGGGACATTTTCTCTTAAAGTTTTCTTAGAATAAGATTGTAATGGGAAAAAAGATCTTTGTGCCGTGTTTGGATGTAATAATGATCGCCTTTTTCTAGTTCAGTATTAGAAATACGGTCTTTCACTATAGACTTCTCGGGAAAACGGCGATCATTATAACATCCAAACACGGCACAACTATCTTGTTTCTCATTACAATCTTATTCTTAGAAAGCATTAAGAAAAAATGTGCCGAAAACCCCTCGAAATTACAAACGAAATGTGTTTATGCCCCCTGGGCACCCTATAATACTCCTAAAATCGAATTAATTCAATATGGCCGCCGTATCGGTAAAAAGGTCTATTGCTCAAGATGGCAAACTATTTCAAAGTTTGAACGCAATCTGTATATTCAGCAAAGCCTCCCGGCACGGTTTAGGTACTGCGCTAAAGTGACATAACAGGCAAAAGATGACGCCAGTAAGAGGTTGCGTTGAGGGTATTTACATTGCATCGTAGTTTTGTGATTTCTAGTCTGCGTCTGCGTCCAACGTCTACCGATTGGAACGTGTTTTCGACACTTACCGCATGGTATTCCTCTGTAATCAGTGTCACATTTACACGTAAAGGTCTTCATGAAGTAGTTTGGGATGCAGATACCGTTTTCGCCGCAAGGGTTCACGTTACTGGACTCGCAGACACTCTGTAGTGTATGAAAAATATGTCAAGGATACACAGCCAATCTTATTAACGATTTTCACACAATTAAGCTTTTGTTTACACTATTTTGCCTCGAGAATTTGAAAAATAAACAAGAAGAACAACAAACGAAAACACAAACACACAAACCAACAAAACCTAAAAAAACTGCCAAGTTTCGACATTCATAAGACCAGGAAGAAATTTTCAAGGAGCAGGCCCATTAACATACATTTCTTTCCCTTTTGAAGCAATACCAATTTCATTAGCTCTAACGTCATCTCAAAAATAAATCGAATGATACGAATTCATTTTCCAAATAAAAAGATGCACTTTCACGCTGAATAATAACTTTTTTTTTGTCAAATGAATAAATAAAAAATAAATACGTAAAAAGAAAAACCCATTTGAACCACTTTGCAGCCAGTCGTACACGTAGTGCGAAAACCACAAGGCCTCCAGGCATGCTCGAAAGCAAGAAACCCACTAAAAAAAGACAAACTACCACGTGGAACCTCTCAAGGCCACAACGGCCACCTGGGTATCCTGCGAACAGAAGACGTAAAAATACGTCTGCTGTTCGCAGGCTACCTTGCGACCGGAAATACGTCTGCTGTTCGCAGGCTACCACCTTGGGGACAGAAGAAAGTAGCTGTTGTAGAGAGGTGGCCGTTATGTGGAGGTAGGGGTGTCATATGACAACTTTTTTTGGAGAGTACAACATGTTTTTTTTGTGCTAAGTTTATGCTTACTGTGTCCCATAATCATGGTTAATTAAATCATATATAATGCATAGAGATAAAATACACAAAAATCTTGAATAGTGTTTTGAAGCAAAATGTTAACGTGACAAAACGAGTAAGGTTCGCAGCATTCGCTGTAAGTATCGTAGACAATTTTTGCGTACTCCAGCAGTATAAATGAAACAAAATCGAAATTCCACTGCCACGATCATCAGATCGTAAAGGTGCCATACGGATCAATTCGGCACCATTCTTGACTTATTCATCAGTCGCTGAAAAAAGCTAGCCGTTGTCGAGAGGATATTTTGGTAGTTGGGGACATGCGTTAGTGGCTGTTGCGGAGAGGTTTAAATAAGAGTGAATGTGTGGACTGTCTGCCGAGACAAAATAAAGTGGCCGTTACAGAGAGGTGACCGTTGTAGACAGGTGACCGTTATGGAGAGGTGGCCGTTGTAAAAAGGTGACCGTTGTAGAGAGGTGGCCGTTGTGGAGAGGTGGCCGTTGTAGAGAGGTGACCGTTGTGGAGAGGTTTTAAATAAGAGTGAATGTGTGGACTGTCCGCCGAGACAAAACAAAGTGGCCGTTATGGAGAGGTGACCTTTATAGAGAGGTGACCGCTGTAGAGAGGTGACCATTATAGAGAGGTGACCGTTGTAGAGAGGTGACCGTTATAGAGAGGTGACCGTTGTGGAGAGGTGACCGTTATAGAGAGGTGACCGTTGTAGAGAGGTGACCGTTATAGAGAGGTGACCGTTGTAGAGAGGTGACCGTTATAGAGAGGTGACCGTTGTAGAGAGGTGACCGTTATAGAGAGGTGACCGTTGTGGAGAAATGACCGTTATAGAGAGGTGACCGTTGTGGAGAGGTGACCGTTAGAGAGAGGTGACCGTTATAGAGAGGTGACCGTTGTGGAGAGGTGACCGTTAGAGAGAGGTGACCGTTGTAGAGAGGTGACCATTATAGAGAGGTGACCGTTGTGGAGAGGTGACCGTTGTGGAGGGGTGACCATTGTAGAGAGGTGACCGTTGTGGAGAGGTGACCGTTACGGAGAGGTGGCCTTTGTCATTTAGAGAGGTGACCGTTGTGGAGAGGTGACCATTGTAGAGAGGTGACCGTTGTGGAGAGGTGACCGTTGTGGAGAGGTGACCGTTGTGGCGAGGTGGCCGTCGTGGAGAGGTTTAAATAAGAGTGAATGTGTGGACTGTCCGCAGAAACAAAACAAAGTGGCCGTTAAAGAGAGGTGACCGTTGTAGAGAGCTGACCATTGTAGAGAGGTGACCGTTGTGGAGAGGTAACCGTTGTAGAGAGGTGACCGTTGTAGAGAGGTGACCGTTGTAGAGAGGTGACCGTTGTGGAGAGGTGACCGTTGTGGCGAGGTGGCCGTCGTGGAGAGGTTTAAATAAGAGTGAATGTGTGGACTGTGCGCAGAAACAAAACAAAGTGGCCGTTATAGAGAGGTGACCGTTGTAGAGAGGTGACCATTGTAGAGAGGTGACCGTTGTGGAGAGGTGACCGTTGTAGAGAGGTGACCGTTGTGGAGAGGTGACCGTTAGAGAGAGGTGACCGTTGTAGAGAGGTGACCATTATAGAGAGGTGACCGTTGTGGAGAGGTGACCGTTGTGGAGGGGTGACCATTGTAGAGAGGTGACCGTTGTGGAGAGGTGACCGTTACGGAGAGGTGGCCTTTGTCATTTAGAGAGGTGACCGTTGTGGAGAGGTGACCATTGTAGAGAGGTGACCGTTGTGGAGAGGTGACCGTTGTGGAGAGGTGACCGTTGTGGCGAGGTGGCCGTCGTGGAGAGGTTTAAATAAGAGTGAATGTGTGGACTGTCCGCAGAAACAAAACAAAGTGGCCGTTAAAGAGAGGTGACCGTTGTAGAGAGCTGACCATTGTAGAGAGGTGACCGTGGTGGAGAGGTGACCGTTGTAGAGAGGTGACCGTTGTAGAGAGGTGACCGTTGTAGAGAGGTGACCGTTGTGGAGAGGTGACCGTTGTGGCGAGGTGGCCGTCGTGGAGAGGTTTAAATAAGAGTGAATGTGTGGATTGTCTGCAGAAACAAAACAAAGTGGCCGTTATAGAGAGGTGACCGTTGTAGAGAGGTGACCGTTGTAGAGAGGTGACCGTTGTAGAGAGGTGACCGTTGTGGAGAGGTGACCGTTGTGGCGAGGTGGCCGTCGTGGAGAGGTTTAAATAAGAGTGAATGTGTGGACTGTCCGCAGAAACAAAACAAAGTGGCCGTTATAGAGAGGTGACCGTTGTAGAGAGGTGACCGTTGTGGAGAGGTGACCGTTAGAGAGAGGTGACCGTTGTAGAGAGGTGACCATTATAGAGAGGTGACCGTTGTGGAGAGGTGACCGTTGTGGAGGGGTGACCATTGTAGAGAGGTGACCGTTGTGGAGAGGTGACCGTTACGGAGAGGTGGCCTTTGTCATTTAGAGAGGTGACCGTTGTGGAGAGGTGACCATTGTAGAGAGGTGACCGTTGTGGAGAGGTGACCGTTGTGGAGAGGTGACCGTTGTGGCGAGGTGGCCGTCGTGGAGAGGTTTAAATAAGAGTGAATGTGTGGACTGTCCGCAGAAACAAAACAAAGTGGCCGTTAAAGAGAGGTGACCGTTGTAGAGAGCTGACCATTGTAGAGAGGTGACCGTGGTGGAGAGGTAACCGTTGTAGAGAGGTGACCGTTGTAGAGAGGTGACCGTTGTAGAGAGGTGACCGTTGTGGAGAGGTGACCGTTGTGGCGAGGTAGCCGTCGTGGAGAGGTTTAAATAAGAGTGAATGTGTGGACTGTCTGCCGAAACAAAACAAAGTGGCCGTTATAGAGAGGTGACCGTTGTAGAGAGGTGACCATTGTAGAGAGGTGACCGTTGTGGAGAGGGTGACCGTTGTAGAGAGGGTGACCGTTGTGGAGAGGTGACCGTTAGAGAGAGGTGACCGTTGTGGAGAGGTGACCATTATAGAGAGAGGTGACCGTTGTTGTGAGAGGTGACCGTTGTTGAGGGGTGACCATTGTAGAGAGGTGACCGTTGTGGAGAGGTGACCGTTACGGAGAGGTGGCCTTTGTCA